GTGTTGGCTGAGGCTGGGGAGGGGGAGCCGCAGCAGCAGCAGCAGCAGCAGCAGCAGCAGCAGCAGCAGCAGCAGTGTTGTGGCAGTTTCAGTGCAGGATTGATATGTTTTTTCCTTCAGGAATCTCTCTCTTTTCTCACCGTGACATCATCCGCACGAACTCTGTAAAACAGAGCAGATGTAAACAGATGTAAACAGATGTAAACAGATGTAAACACAAGTAAACACATGTAAACACATGTTCTCCTCCTGGAACACTGAGATGTTCCTCTAACAGAACCTGTCATGTAGCGTAAAGAAACATTTGCACATTCCATAAATTTACAACCATGTAAAACCGTCCCCTCTACAGTCATGAACTCTGAGTCAGGACTAGAGACGTCCAAGTCCAAGTCCAAGTCCAAGTCCAAGTCCAAGTCCCCGTAGAAAAGTATACATTACATCCAAGTGGCTTTCCTGAAAAGTCCGAGTCCGAGTCCCTGTGGTTTTAAGCTTCAGTCTCAGTCTTTGAAGAAATACGTTGAGAGTTGGTTTCCTGAATAATAATATTAATTTGAACTATATTAATCTCATATCTGGGAAATTGTTGCCTTAGCAGCGGATGTACTGCTAACCGCTACGCTATGAAAGTTTTCCTCGATGGAACTATTTTTTGGATCAGACCTGGACGACGGAGAACCTTCACGTCCATCAGGAACTATTTTTTGGATCAGACCTGGACAACGGAGAACCTTCACGTCCATCATTATCAGTTTACACTAGCTTGTAGCATCGGTGCGACGTGACTGATATCAGGTTAGCTAACGTTAGCTCAATGCTAAGCGAGAAACACCTCAGGCTAAAAGATTAGACATTAAATACAGCAAGAGAGTCACTCTACCAGGTGACTAGAGGACACCCATGGTACTGTACCAGGTGAGTAGAGTACACCCATGGTACACCCATGGTACTGATGGTACTGTACCAGGTGACTAGAGTACACCCATGGTACTGTACCAGGTGACTAGAGTACACCCATGGTACTGTACCAGGTGACATAATCCCTGTATGGAGATAATCTGACAGCCTGTATCTGTGTTGGGATTTGATGTGATGAGGAGTGAAGTCACAGCGACAACCAACGACAACAACAATAACGACAACAACGACGACCACACCGCCAAAAACAACGACAACAACCACAACAACGACAACAATGACAACAACAACAACGACAACAGAAACGGCGACAACGACGAAAAAAACAACAACAACCACAACAACGACAACAATGACAACAACAACAACGACGACAACGACAACAGAAACGGCGACAACGACGAAAACAACAACAACAACAACGACACCTCACTGACCTTCAAAGTCCACGTGTCCATCACCGTTCAGATCGATGTCCCTCAGGATGTCCTCCAGATCCCTGTGTCCCACCTGGAGAAGACAGCGTTGAGGGACATTTCCACAGCGTGTACATGTAAAGACAGAACCAGAACCGGACTCTGTACCTGTTGTCCCAGCAGTTTCTTCATGGCTTCTCGGAGTTCTGCGGTGCTGATTTGACCGTCGCCGTTCGTGTCAAACTACAATTGACAGAAAAAAATATATAAAAAATTAATCTGAGGTAGAACTGAACACGTCACACGTAGCTGTCATCGCGGCTGCCTTTCACATCTGCCTTACATGCAGAACGTCATGGGTTCGAACCCCTGAGGAGCAACGTAACTAACAGCGCCTCCTGTGGCAGTCTGTGTGGCCAGCTAAGACTCACACTGTGATTTTCTCCACTGTGGGACTAATACTTCAATTTTTTTTTTCGGACTAATACTTCAATTTTATTTTTTTTAAATTTTTTACACCAAATACAAGGACTGCAAATATATTGATCTGCAAGTGGTGACAACTTGACTAAAATGACAGAAACAACAGCACAAGTTTATGTTACACTGTTACACTGTTTGTTACAAAGACGAGAATTCGTTACAAATAAGATAATTTGTCTTTTTAAATTTAAATTTGAAACCACACACACAAACTGGTTTTTATGTCTTGTGAGCACTTGTGCGTAATAATCTGTATCCTACATCAAATTTTCATCCTAAAAACTAAACTTGAAAATCTAAAATGTCATCTCTCTCCCAGCAGACCATCAGGACTGATGGTCCCCACGGTGACAGTTATTTTTAAGTGTCCCCACAAGTATGGTTAAACGAGGATCTCACACACAGATGCATTTTTGTGAATCAAATTTCCCTGCGTACCTCTAGGGGGAGCTTACATACCATGTTTGAGAACCCCTCTTCTAGAACAAAACCCAGTGAGTAGCAAAGTTTTTTGAAACTGTCCGCACCTCCTTAAACGCATCCCTCAGCTCCTTCACCCCAATCATGTCCGCAGTCTCTGCCAGAAGTTTGGGTCCCATGAGTTCAACAAAGTCCTCAAAGTCAACATGTCCTCCCACTGTTGGACAGAGAGAAAACACACAGCTGCGTTGTTTGGAGAAGGAAAAAAAAAAAGAAAAAAAAAAGAAAACTCTGTGACAAGGCCGTGATCTGAGAGGAGCTCGGTCGCGGCGTAGGCCGTGATCTGAGAGGAGCTCGGTCGTCGTGGAAACGCGGCGCGAACTCACGGTTCATGTTGATCTGCTGGCTCAGTTCTATCAACTCCATCTCTGTGGGCATGTAGCCCATGGTCCTCATGCAGTTTCCCAGGTCTTTACAGCCGATGAAGCCGTCCTTGTCTTTGTCGAACTCCCTGAAGGCCTCGCGCAGCTCTGGGAGGAGAGCCGCAAATTTGAAGAAGACGTTTACAAATATATACAGTATATATATATATATACATTTTATATTTGTATTTACAGTTGGGACTTCAAGATACGTTTTCCCCATTAAAAAAAATCCTAAAAAACAATTAATTCGTTCCAGACCCCAGAAATAGACTATAAACCCAAACATCAAAAATATTGATCATATAAAATAATAATAATCAAGAAAACATTTTATATTATTGTTATAAAAATGGGTAAAATAACCCAGAGAGGAAGTGGTCGGTTGAGCAAGTAAATCGTAACTCGATGTTTTTCTCTCATTACGAGGAAAATCTTGCAAAAGTTGCTCAATCGTAACTTGGAAACCCCGTATTTCGGGGAGCTGGTATCTTGAAGCCCCCACTTTACTTCTTTAAAATGTTTTGAATTTATTTTTCCTGACGCGTCACCTACCATCCATTTCTTCTGGCCTCAACTCGCGGTCCTGTGAAGAACCACAGTTACAGTTAGAAAAGGTAAAATGATTCCATAAAATAAAAACTTAGAGACTGAAGTAGATCTTCGTCTGTATCTTTCTTCAATTCCTGCCTGTACATCAGTGTGTTCAACTAAACAGACAGTCAGTGAATTTAAATGAGTAAATTAAAACTAGAAGATCGTTACATTCACTCCATGTAACATTTCTGTTTGATGATTCCATTTCCGTGTGAAAACCTCCAGAGATCCATCGTCTTCATCGTCCGATCGTCCGATCGTCGACTGATCACATTTGTTCTGAACGTTCACACACTGATGGTTTTGAAGCGTTGAACAGTTTGACCATGAAACACAGTCAGTGAATCGTGTTTTTTTGTTTTTATTTTGGAGACGATTTTCTCTGTACGTAACAGAGACTAGTGGAATATTCTGGAATATATTTGACCTTGGAATCCTGTACTTTCTTCATATTTGTTCTTGTAAAAAAAAAAAACAAAAAAACAAAAACTTTTTGTATGTAATATTTACATCGGGTCCTCGGTTTACGACGTCCTCGACTTCCTCGTCTTTTTGTGGTTACGTCGCCCATAAATTTATTACGAAAGTCTTGATCCATTATTCCAACATACGGTGTTAAAACGACTTTTTTCACAGGAACTACTTTCCAAGCGTAACGGACATTTGTCCGTCTTCCACATATAGCGCCGACGACGACACTCGGCGCTAAATGCTGACGACGTCTTTGTTTACATTCGCCAGTTGAACGCCATACAATGGATTGTGCTGCAATCGCTGTCTTTCTTTTGGGTTGTTTTTTTTTTTTTTTGCCCTTCATTATGGTCAGACTCTACTAATGTTTGTTGTCCTAGATCAGGAGTGTCAAACATCTTTTGGGTTGTTCAGAATAGGCCCACTAGGGGGGGTTCAAGCCGGCCCAATAATTCTAAATTTTGAAAATGAAAAAATGCACAAACACTTCATGTCAGTGATGTTTTGTCAAATTATATTTAATTAAATATAAATATTTTCTAATATACTTGTATTTACTTGCAGGAAAACGTGGGCTTGTTGTTATTTATAGTTAATTATGATGTGATCTCTAATCAGGCTGAATGAACCAAAATGAGTTTGACACCAAGTCATGTCGCACTGAAAGAACGGAATTCTGACGTACGTCGAGGACCCTCTGATATATTTATCTCCATCTGCTTTTTCCTGTTAGTGAAGGTGTGGGAGGGGGGGGTTGAGGGGGGGTGGAGTCAATCCCATGGTGGGGTAAACCCAGGCCAGGATGGTCCATTCACGCTCACATTCACACCTCTGGTCAGTTTGGAGAGACCATTTCACCTGATCTCCAAGCTGCATGTATTTGGACTGTGGGGGAGAGACCATTTCACCTGATCTCCAAGTGTCATGCATTTGTGTTACAACTGTGGAAGTTGAACCCACACCCACCTGAGAACAAACATGCCAGCTCCAAACTGAAAGACCTGGGATCAAACCAGCGACCTGGTGATCTGCTCTCTGTGCTGCATCAGCACCAAGGTGGAAACTTACAAGAGTAAATTAGAGTAAAAAAAAAAAGCTAATATGCTAATGCTAATACAAAACATATAAAGTTGCTTTGTGGCTCCCCCTGCAGGGGAGTTGTGTAGCTACTGTACATGCCATCTGCTACATCCTCGATCTGAATCAGAATATTTACGAAGAATGTTCTAATATCGATATATTCAATCATTCTAGCTTCAACGCAGGTTGTTATTTACACACGCTGTGGAAAAGTTTGAGTTTCACCAAAGCACCTCATGATTAAAATACACTCTCTACGCCCATTGTTTATGTTTATGGACGCCCGACTACAGACTCAGATCGAGACAGTCGATAACGACTGACTTACAGTTTAATAGATTGTTAACGACTGATTAATATTATTGTTGTTGACGACAACGACGTCACTGAAGGTTTAAATCCACCCACTTTACGAAGCTAAATACTGAGTTGTACTTTCGTACAGTTCTCTTAAAATCTTTCCATATCAATATCACCAACATTTGCATCAGTCACTAATAAAACCAGAAGTTGGAATAAACAGAAAAACAAGGTTGTTTTTGTCGCAGGCTTGAATTAGGATTCATCTCAGTTAATCATGATAAATTACGATCACGATGAATCCGCAGCTACACTGCCATTAAACCGCACATATATTCATTATAATCTGTTGACAAAAGGCCAGCCTTCCAGTTAGCACCACAGTGGTCGCGGTTTCTAAACCTGTGCTAACAGGAAGTGGGTTTGAACCCGCGACAGTTCGGAGGTTCTTGTCTTTCTCATTCATGCACAGGATATGTTTCAGGACTTACGTACAGCCTGCCGGCTCTCAGCGAAGCCCTTGCGCAGAAAGATGCATGCGGGCCCCAGCACGTTCTGCATGGTGGCGCCGTTCTGGGCCAGGGCCACTAGTGGCTCGAGACTGGCTCCCCCAGAACCCCTGTCCTCACAGAACTGCACTGCTTTGTAGTTTTTCTTCTGGTCCTGGAGCGGGGTTCAGGGATTAAAGGAGGAGCCAGACACGGGAGCAGAGACAGGAGTAAAGACTGAGACTCAGCAACATGGAAGTACAACGTCAACAAGGGTGGAGGGAGATCACCACATGGGCCGGGGGTGATGGAGTCAGAGGGTGATGGAGTCAG